TTGGTGGATTCAAATATGGCCACACCTGTCCTGGTGAAAAAAGGGAACCCAGTCGGTAGAGGAAGGCTGATGCTGACGTCTATACGGAGACTAAGGTCTGGTTATAAAAAAAAAAAAAAAAAAGAAGAAGAAGAGAAGTTCATTACTTTATGTGGCCAGTATCCTCTTTCCCTATTTGAATGTGTATCAGGCAACACATGAATAATTATTGATATTCGATCTGTGCTAGGTGGTGGCTGTAACTCCAGCCCACCCTTCCAAGCCTTTAGTTGGGACCTGCCAGAAAGAAACATTTTCTCTCTCTGAAACTATCCTAGCTTGAGACATTTCTGTAAAGCAGTGGTTCTCAGCCTTTTTAGACTCAAGGCACCTCTAATGAGACTTGAGGCACCCCTCAGAAAATGCCAGCTCTTAGCTTTCAATTATTTCTTGACTACAGAAAAGTGATAAAGCCATTCTTCTGTTGCAAACAACCCAGAAAGACTTCACCAAGTGTTTTTGACACTATGGATTCCTACTGGATAGCTGGTTTTATTTTGTAACTTGCACGCATGTGTTTGCAGACCTTCCAGAGCTAATATTGTGCAGCACCTGAGGGCACCCTTATAATAAGCATCTTGCACACCCCCGGGATGCCACAGCACTGTAGTAGGTGAGAATCACTGCTCTAGCGGCTTCTTGGGAAGAAACAAGGATAATTAACTGCAAAATGCAGCCCCTGCTTAGTACAACTGTAGCTAAGGCCCATGCTTTGTCTTTTAAATGGCATGTTTCTGGGATGCATGGTTTATCCATAGACATATGGGGTTTTATTCCAGTGTGTTGTGCAAGGTCTCAGGCCAGAGAACTCCAGCTGTGCTTTTCATTTAGGTATAATGTTTAAAAAATTAACAGGTTGTATGTATGTGTTTGGAGAAAAAGCATCAAAATCTGAATGACTGATACCTGGAACAGATGTCATTTAGTGTCCTGCGAAACCTTCAGCAAATATTTCTGGGGAATTTTATTGAACCAAAAATCACAGGTCCCAGATGAATTTTGGGTTTTCTCTATTAAAAAGCCTGTCACTCGCTAGTCTGTGCAGGTTTCTGGAGCTGATGATCTAAAATTAGGACAACCCATTGCACAGTTGACAGATTTAAGTTCAACTGTGTTTTCCTCTGATAGGAAGATATAATTTTAAAAATTATACCTAAGGTAATTATTAGAGCAAAAACTATTGATGCAAGTAATTAGTTCTTTTTCTGTAAATGAAGGGAGCATCCTGATACACGAAGACAAGCATTAATGGCTTAGATAAGAAACCAAATTAAGGACCAAGGCAGTGTTTTAGCCACCTTCACTATTGCCTCACCATACTATTTAATTGGAGAAATATCTGAGGTTCTTTAGTAGAATTGACCTGGTTCTTTCTTGGGAAAATATCTCATTGGCCATGAGGGATTTTTTCAAGTTGTTATTTAAATTAGATTCAGGAGCAAAATCGTTTGCACGTACAGGATTTTTATCTAAATTTTATAGGGGAACAGTGGGTTGCCCAATTAAAACATAGATCACCATAATTAACTGTTTAATCTTCTGCATACCCGAGTGCTAAAGAATTGTTCTTTGTTATTGATGACAACTTTCGGGAATCCCAGTAATCTGTATTCACGAACAGATCATTCAATATGTTGTTGATGACTACTGATGGCTATGATCCAAAGCCCAATGAGACCAATGGTCCCATTGACTTGTTGGCTTTGGATCAGATCTTTTCTTGGGCAGGAAGCAGGGCAACTAAATTCATAAAAGCTCCTGCTTAAGGCAGAATCCACAGGATTGTTGTAAGGCAGTATACTCCCACAGCCAGTTCTGTTATCAAATGTGATCATCCACCTGATGACGCTTCACCTTGAAGTAGCATATTACTTGTCAGGCTTAAGAATTTCTCTCCTGAGACCCATTGTAGGCACCATACAAGCTGTGAAAATCATCTGCAGAATGCTATTTTTACATCAAAATGTTTTTAATGATAAAGCTAACACATTTGATTATGTATACAACATCTATGAACGTAAGACTATGGTGTGAAAAAGATAATAAATCAACATAGCACGATCAGTTAAAAAATAAAATGTGTGTGGACCATGGACTCTTTCAAAACATCATCCTGAAGCCGGCAAACAAGGATTTAGCAGAATCATCTTCCAAACTGTGTGCGCTTCTCTGTGTACGTACGCACGTACCATTTTTTTCTGCCTTTGGGAAAATATTTTGAAACGGTATATGATCATACACATTTTTCAACTGTAATGCATATGCATACTACAATATATGGGAGTTAAATGTGCCATGTTCGTAGCATTTCCCGTTCTAAATGCAGTACAGAGAATACCTAATAAACAGCCAACATACATTTATAGCACATTACATTAATGATTCCCACTGTATATTCTAATGTTCTAAACTAATAAATGCTAGACTTTGATATTACTGTTGTCCATTTATTTCCAGTCCTCCGCCCCTGCGTCTCTTCCTCCCTAACACTGCTTAGCTATGATTAGAGAGACAGTTCGAGGTGAGAACTTGTCTGGATCTTTGTTGCAAAGTATTCTTATTAAGGTTCAGAGAATAATTGGCTTTTTCCTTGTGTTTCTGCACCTCTTTGTTCTAGTATCATTGAAATACAGCAACCAGCATTGCTTTCCAAGGCATTTCCGGCCCAACAGGAAAGCTCACAACGTTCCTAGCTCAATGTTGCAGGTCCAAGTGGTTTGTGTGGTTATGTCAGAATTGGGAAGGGGACCACGTTGAAAATGGATTTCCATCCTTCTGAATAAGCCATGATCAAGCATTGTGGTTGCTTCCTGAATGCATAGTGAGCTGACTCCTTTTTGGCTCTCAAGACTTTGAGCTGCTTGGTCACATCTCTTGACTTTAAGTAGAACTGTGCGTCTTGTGCGGCTCAGTATTGCTCATTGGACATTGTCTACTTCTAGTGCTCTTTCTCCATTTAAGGTGCAGAAACTCATTCCTTCTTTCTAAAACAAATAAAATAAATAAGCCACTTTCAAAACCAAGACTAGGCTAATCAGCTGTTTGGCGCAGGGCTTTGCTGTGCAGATTCCGTTGCCAGTAATAAAAGGGCTACCGCAAACAGATTAACTAGTGTTGAAATGGCATGACAGCGGCCTTCGCCACCTGTATAAATGAGGGGGAGTCTCTTTCACTCTTGTTTTGGCTGCTGCTGAAGTTTTTGCTACCATAGGAGGAGGCTTGGATAGAAATTTGTGGCCGTATGTTTTTCCTCTAGCAGAAAAGAAAAGAAAAAAGATTAGGTTTCTTAGTGTAGCCTATGAATGAGGAGTAGCTATCTAGCTAGCAGCCAAACTGTAGCAGGGTTAAGTTTTTATCTGGTCACTAGAGCATCATAATAGCTGCACTTCTACTGTATATGTGCACAACATCAGGCAGCTTGGGAACCCAATCTCACTTTAGGCCTTTAGGCACCACTGAATTATAAATGATACGTAACAATTGTATCCCCCGAGTCTTTGCATAGAAGGAGCACTTTGCACTTGATCTTCCCCCTGTTACACAGGAATCCTTTTATTTGGGATATGCCGCTCAAGCGGTGCTACGCTGTTATGAAGCTTGTGGTGGGCCACCAGTTGCAGCTGGTGAAATAGAGCATAGGCCTTTTATGGGGATCAGCCTGGACTCCTGAGGGTCACTGAGCACGTGCCAGGCAAAGGGAGATGAGCCCCATAGACTGTTCTGTAGGGAAGCATTCCCTTGCCTGGTAAGGGTGGATTTCCTTGAGGGAGTCCTGGAGGAGATGTTGTCCCTAAAACCACCCTTTTTATGGTGACGTGGGACTAACCAGGACTAACTTAAGTGATTACACAATGCTAGGTATGGAGTTTACTTATCAAAGTAACCTACGGCTCAGTTCAGTGTGCTGACTTCCTTTGCAAATATGGTGGCTTACGCTAGCAGATAAGCCAAAATGAGGGGGACTCGATTAAGTTCATAGGGTAAGGCAACCAAGCTAGATACAGGACCAGTTTTATTGCTAGACCATCCTCTCTTGTCATATGATAGTTATGCCTTATTATTCACCATGCTCTTATTTCAGAAGAGGAGGAAATTTCTCAGAAAGTAATATCACAGCATTGTTCTGGGACAGTTCCTGCACAGCTGAGATGGTTCTTACTGGTGAGAGAGATGCTGCGTATTTGTACAGGTGGTGTCTTTTTAGCTTTGGAAAGTGCCTCCCTTTAAACTTGCCCCGAGGGTGAGCAGTCGCCCAAACATTACTTGGTAGCAGTGCTCAAGCAATCGCAGAGTATTCCTTACTGTTTAAGATGCATTAGGAGGAAAGATAAGGATCTTTTTCAGTCATTTGATGTGCCACATAGAGGGTCCCGACAGCCAGAGAGGTAATGAAATCACAACCAAGCGTGTTCATGTTAAAAGATTATGCATTTGCCACTAAGGGAAGAGAACATGTTGTTTACAGGCGTGAGTACGTGCTCTCTGGGCTGATCGTGCCATGGTGCTCTCTCAGCCAATGATTTGTCCTGTCCTTTATCATCTTTGTCACTCGGCAGCACGTTGTCATAGGTAACGTATCACCTCCCTCCCCCATTTCCCCTTTCCTTTTTTTGTACCCATTTCGTGTAGAAAATTTGTATTTACTTTGGGAGTGTAATTTGTTCCTCATGGATAATATGACCCTTAGCGGAGCTGGATCATGGGTTAGTTGAAGTGATATTTTCCGCTAATGGTAGTCGTACATCATTGCTGTCAGCTCGGGTTAGGAGGCAAGCACATTACAGCTCCATTTTACCTCTGCAGGCATCTGGGATTATTTGCCATAACTGAGTATGACATGACCGCACTACAGAGTGCATTAAAATTTTACTAGCTTCTCAGGCAAGTTCCTTGGCTCCAGCCTATGCTTCAGGCAGGCGTAATGATGGATACCTCTAAGGTCCTGACTTCCTGCACCAAGGATACTCAATGTCAACGGCCCAAACAGGTTTTACTCTCCCCAGGGCTTTAGAGCATCTTCTGGCAGTTGAGTAAACAATCAAAAAATGAACCACAAGGAGGCTGGCATGGATGCCACAGAAAACTTCCCCAAGACATAAGGTGTTTCGCATGTAACATTGAATGTCATAGAACATATTTGTTTTAAAGTAATAATGCATTATTATATAGAATTTTAAAAGAGAGGCATGATGTATGTGCATGCTAGATATGATGCTTATGAAAATGGGAATATTGGCCGTGAATATGTATATATGTATATTTACACACACACACGTGCATGTATATAAAATCAGACTAATACATACATTGGATTGCATACATTTTATCTATTTATTTGTATGTGCGTACCTTGTATAGTT